CTCAGGTCGTACACCGCTGAACTGTTGAAATACAGACCCCCCCGAGTTCGAATCCAGATGCCCTCAGATGACGAGAATAAAACTATCCTGAGTACAAGGCTGATCTCTAAAGGCCGTCGGTTGCCCGCATACGTTTTTTTGCCCTTTCGAAACTGAAAGTGTGACACTGCAGGACTTGTTTCTTTTCTTTTCTTTTTTTTTTTTCTTTTTTTTTTTTTTTTGTTGTTGTTGTTGTTGTTGCTGCTGTTGTTGTTGTTGTTGTTGTTGTTGTTGTTGTTGTTGTTGTTGTTGTTGTTGTTGCAGTTCACTGCCCCTAGCGGTACCCGATGCCGCACTTTGCTGTGCTAGGAGAGCAAATGCTCCACCACCACCAAATCATTTTTTCAATTTTTTGAATTTTTTTCCCTTTCCGCTTGGGCAAATACCTCGCTGCATGCTACACAGCCTGGCAAGTGCTTTCCAAGCACAATTCCTGACGCAGTGGGGTCTAACACTAAAGACATACTCGCACCCTGGCAAGTGCTTTCCAAGCACAATTTCCAAGCCTGGCAAGTGCTTTCCAAGCACAATTTCCAAGCACAATTTCCAAGCATATTCCCTAACGCGTGGGGTCTGACCCTAAAGGATATTTTTCCGCAAAAAATGCATTGCGAGATTTCTGATATCTTTGGCCTTCAGCCAAGTTACACTGCCGTTGGGTTTCCAACGAGACACGGTCCCAGTGTTCTGCCGATTGCGCTTTTTGGTCGTAGTGTGTTCTGCCAATGGCGCTTTTTGATCGTCGTGCATTCTACCAATGGCGCTTTTTGATCGTCGTGCGTTCTGCCAATGGCGCTTTTTGGTCATAGTGTCTTCTTCGGGTTGCGTTTTTTGGTCCCAGAGTTATGCCCGTTGTGCTTTTATTTTTTGAGGCAATTCCTGCCATCCATGAACCCGCCACCGTCCTCTTTTTCTGCCACGCCAGTGCTGTTTTCATATACTGTACGAGAGTGGGCCCAGACCACCTGCACAGCCGGGCCAAAAATAAACAAAAAAAAATAAAAATAAAAAAGGAATACAGAGATTGGAGATCAGCACGTTGAAGGTTGATCACCAGAAAACTGGTTTCTTTTGGCGCCCAGAGTTGTGACCAATTCCCAGAGGGTATGTCCATGAGGGCGCAGCACTTCATGTGTCCGCCTGCACACGGCGCACGAGGGCGCAGCATTTCATGTGTCCGCCTGCACACGGCGCACCATAGCCAAATCGTTGCTTCACCAATTAAGGATTTCATGCAACAGAACGAGTCAAAGAACTAAACACATTTCCAATACCGAATTTTTTTTATTTTTTTTTTTAGTTTCACCAAGAATTCTGATGTGACCCCGGCATGGTCCCTGATGCTACCGGCTGTCCCCTACTGTAGCCGGTATCGCCCACCTGCAGGTCGGGAGCAGCCCCCGCATGTTCTCTCGTGAACACGGTTCTGGATGCTACGGGGTTCCCGTATGCCTACAATGAGGAGTAGTGGTAGGTAGGTAGTGTGAGGTGAAATTGAGAGAAGAACATAGCTTTTATTAAAAACAAGAAAAAAAAGAAAAAAAAGTTGTTCAGTTTCTTTATCTGCACATCATAGTTTTTTTCAGTTTTATTTATTTTTATTTTTTTAACAGGGTCCTTCCCAGGCCCTTGCCCAGCTGGGCCCGCTCGGGCCATCAAGGTAACCCTGGTGGCATAATCCCAATAATGAAATCATTTCTCCTTTTTCTTGTTCGCAATCAGGAAAAAAAAAGAAGGCATTTGAGGTCACCTTCAGAGGTGACCGCAAGTTCCCAAGCCCCACGGAAAGCAGACAGCTCAGGCCTTAACTAGGATATTCAGAATTTTCAATTTTCAAGAGTTTTCTTGACTTTTTTTTAACTCTTTTTATTGATTTTAAAGATCAATCAAGAACATCCACAGTGGACTTCCTTGGCCTTGCAATGGTCGATGCGAGAACCACATAGCCCCCTTGGGGACTTTTTTTTTAACTCTTTTTATTGATTTTAAATCTAGGCTACCAGAGTGGCCCCGGGTCACTTGCCCGGTCGGGCCAAAATAATTAAAAAAAATAAAAAAAAATAAAATAGTCTTCAATTTTATTTTTTATTTTAAATTTGGTGAAGAATTTCGATGTGACCCTGAGGCAAAAGTTGGTCAGTTTATTTTTCTGCATAATATAGTTTTTTTCAGAATTTTTGGATTTTTTTTTTTTTTTTTTTTGCTGGGACCTTACCTGATCCTTGCACGGGCTGGCCACCCGGGACCCGGGCGGCCCGGCTGGTAGCCTAGTTTTAAATAGGTTTTGGTGTCAGGGTGGTCCTTTGGGACATTCCTTAAAATTGGAATGATACAGAGAAGATAAGCATTGCTCCTGCACATTGAGAGAGAGAAAAAAATTGGAACGATAAAGAGAAGATTAGCATGGCTCCTGCGCATAACAAAGAAAAAAAAGAAAAAAAGGTTTGGTTTCAGGGTGGAGACCGTGGAGCTTCGTTTGCACAGATTCATCTATAAAGTAGGAGACACTTCAGTTCCTGAAAGGCGTGCTCACATTCCAGCGCCCAGATGAGATCTTCCTCCTCCTTGAGCAGGTTCGTGAATGGCTTAGCAATTTCTCTCTTTATTTATTTATTTGTTCGTTTGAAGAAGAAGAAGAAGAAGAAGAAGAAGAAGAAGAAGAAGAAGAAGAAGAAGAACAACAACAACAACAACAACAACAACAACAACAAACGAAGGAGGAGAAGAAGAAGAAGAACGAAGAAGGAGAAGAAGAAGAAGAACGAAGAACGAAGAAGAAGAGGAAGGTGTGTGTGTGTGTTGAATAAAATTTTAAAAAATATAATAATAATCTAGGCAGATAACGGCAAGGGGTTGGCAGAGGCATACTTTGGGTGGGAACTGGATGCCTTTGTGAGAATAGGAGGGGGAAATGGGTCTGTCCCAAGTTGGGGCCAATGAGGAGTGCTCGTGATCAGGGGTGGTCCTTTTCGGTGGAGGCAGCGGTGGTGCAGGGGGATAAGGGGAAAGGGGGGAATTCCTATATCCTTTGCTTGAATTTGGTTGGGACCGTTTCTGATTCTTCCTGGAATATTCAAAACAAGCACCCTTGTTATTTCCTTGTAGTTTGAAGAATCTCTTAGGACTCTGAGGGACTGTTGGTGGTTTGTACGAAGCTGCACTCGAATTAGACTGTTATATTCAGGACCCGTGGTTGTTCCATGCCAGAACTGTTATATTCAGGATCCGTGGCTGTTCCATGCCAGAACTGTTATATTCAGGATCCGTGGCTGTTCCTTGCCAGAACGACGCTGGCCGGAGCCCGGGTGAGGCCCTGTAACTTGCTGGAGGTGAGGGCATGAGCCCTTGTAAACACAGGACGACACTGGTCGGAGCTGGAGTGAGTCGCGTTGCTCTGTAAGCTAGCGGATAGGGGGCGTGAGGCCTGGATGAGTTTGTTAGAGAATAAGTCAGTTTTGGTGAGCTTTGTTATGATCTGCTGGAATTCCCTTATAGATACTTGAGTGTTCGGAGAATTGCGGGTGGATTTCAGGAGGTGTTTTTTAGTGATCGTAAAAAAGGATTCGTAGTTTTTCTCATCATCTATATTCGTAGTTTCTCATCATCTATCCCAATTTTCAGCAGTTTGTTTATGATCTTGGAGGATACTCTCAATCCGAAACCGGGTAATGGCCCCAGTACTTCAATTTGTTCATAAATCTTTTCTACATGTCTTCATATGGGATGCTGGGCCCGATTCCCAGCACGTGCTGCTCCCCACCCTCAAACCACGCCCGGAATGGTGCCCGGTTGCCCGGCTGGGCGTGAAGGCCCGGGCCGGCCCCCGGGCGGTCTCCGTGGCACCCCCCCAAAAAAAAATGAAAAACGGTGGACGGCGCACCTTGGGCACGGCGGGGGGTCGCGGGGACTTCCAGATTGCGAAAAAAAAATCGCGGAGGGCCTACCGGCCCCGCGAAGATGAAAATTAAGGGGCGATTTCAGGCCCTCGATCTGCAAGATCAAGGGCTTGAGATCGCCCTTTTTTCTTCCCGTTTGCCCAAGGATCACCACGCGATTTCGTGCAGGCATTGCACTTCGAATGCAGGCACGAAATCGCGCGGCGATTCTTGGCTTCAGGAAACCGCCCTCCTCCTCTCGTCCAGCGTTGCCCGTCGCTCGACATCGCCATCGCCAGGTAAGACAGTGAGTGTGTGTGTGTGTGTGTGTGTGTGTGTGTGTGTGTGTGTGTGTGTGTGTGTGTGTGTGTGTGTGTGTGTGTGTGTGTGTTGTGTGTGTGTGGGTGTG